TCGGACACCCTGCTTTAAGAGTTCTATCACGTCACGTTCACAATGACGGTCACCCAGCCTATTTGACAAATACCCTGTCTATGCGTCTCAGTCTCGGTTGTGGAGTTTGCCTTTTTAAACAGCTTATGAACCTTCTGTTTGTCGCCTTCCCCTCAAGTCCTTGTTGTTGATTACCCGCTAGCGAGCATCTTAGCCCCTTTTCTGTAGGTTGTGTTAGATTGCGTTGTCGGTCGTTTAAGTAGGACATTTTATAGATCGCCAGCACTTCTCCTCGCGACGCACCCGCCATTTGCGCCTTCCAGTGTAATGCCAGATGTTAGACGGATGATTTGGGCCACAGTGGGTGCATTATCGCACATTTCCTGCGGCCGACCCAGCATTCACAGTCATTTACATTTTGTTCCCTAGTGGCCACCTAGGTTAGACGGCTTCTGGTTTTGAAAGTTGGTCTTTGAAGTCTGTGATTTAAAGCGATATTACTGCGCGTTCTTTGAGGCTCCAGCTTAGCAACCTTCCATTATGTCGAATCGAAATGCTTAGAACATCGTTTATTCAATATGTATGCAATATTTATTCAGAAAGAGACTGCCATGACTGACGAGGCAGAGATGGATCACCATTTATGACTTATTAACCCTCTTTCACTAGGCATGACTAAGCTCCAGATTTACAGCGGTATTACTTCTCATTCTTCGTGGCTCCAGCCTAACGCCCTCATATACAAGGGCGGATAGTGCAGTTTTTCTTTTAATTGGCCAGGACTTTGGTAGCGTTTTCAGTTTCAAGCAAATTGTTTTCGTTCAAGGATCGTAGATGTCGGCCACAATTTTCGAGTTCACTGGCCTTTACATCCATCTCGGATATGCGGAGGTATCGCCTATGTCATGTTCGATGAAAAACAGACCTGAGAAAAGCGGATATTATATTAAAAATGTATTGAAAATGGCAAACAACCTTATGATATGAGGAAAAATGAGCTGTAATCTCTTATCCGACAGCAAAAAAATTTGCGGATTAATATACAACACCATGGGGTTAGGGGCTTTACAACAGCTATTTTTAGTAATCGGAGATATTTGGAACGAAGCGAAGATAGAAGTCTCTCCTAAGGATGTCTAATGTGCACCATATTATCGAATAGTGGAGTTTTCGCAGTTTCTGACTGTATTTTAGAAATATCATAAGATATAATGACAGGCCGGATAAAAACTGCCTCATTAACTTCATTTTGAGTGTAAAAGGAAACATTTCATGGCCATTGTAACTTTAAATAGCGCTTTTACGAGAAATAAAAAAATTTAATTACATTTCTTCGGACTCCCTGCCTCGAGTGTTCTATCAAGTCACGTTCACAATGACGGTCACCAGTCTGTTTGCCAAATACCCTCTCTATGACTCTCAAATGCGTTAGGGAGGTGAGACGGGCTATGGATGTGCTGAGGTCATCTGGTCTCCAATGTGGTCTGAAAATTTAAAAATGTTGGGGCACAGATCAAGAATGTACGTGCCACTTTGAGGCAACACTGCATTTCAGTTGGTGTGCAGTTCTTGAACTCCAGCTTTTAAGCATAATCGCGCATTACCCTGCGGATGCCCTAGAACTCAGTGACATTAACATCCCGTTCGCTAGTGGCCCTCTCAACTAGACGGCTTCTGGTTTTGAATGTTCGTCTTTGAGGTTTGTGATTTCAAGCGACAATACTCCGAATTCTTTAAGGCTCCAGCCTAGCGCCCTTTCATTATGTCGCATCGAACTGCTTAGTACATCATTTTTTCAACATATGTGCAATGTGTACTCAGAAAGAGACTGACATGAAAGACGAAGTAGAGTAGGATAACCGTTTATGACTTATCAGCCGTCTTACATCAACCGGGAATAAGCTCCGGTTTGCAGAAACTGAAGCCTGTTTCCGCGTCCTTTGATCACAAGTGACCCAAGGGCAAGATTGCAACAGAAATGACGACGTACAAGGAGTCTAATGGTATAGTAACGATTTTAACAACGCTCGATGACCAATAAAACGCTGGTTAGCATCCTAGGCTCCGCAAACCCACAGTTGAATAAGACCGGCTGACGACGGCTTATAAGCCAGAAATGATCGTTCCAGTCTCACTTGTCTTTTTCGGCAATGCCAATCTGCCATACTGCTGACCGCTGTTCGACTGCATACATGTCTCTGGATTGAGCACCCCGACAGTTCGACCGTCGTGTTCACTGTGTGCTCCCCAGCAAGGCGAGAGCAAGCACAGTGACTTATGCGCGAAGTAGTTTATAGTGAGAGTAGACTTGCGCGGAATCTACCGCACTCCCTCCTCCTACCCCCGGTGTTATGATGGAGTCGATCAGATTGAAGGCGGGAGAGGGTGCAGGTGACTGGCACCTAGGCGTAGCACCACATCCTCTGGTCCACAAGAATCACTTGACCAGGATTTTGACCAACAACAACATCAACCACTGAAAAGTCAATTTGGCAAACACGTGTTTTCGGTAACTCGTCATCTGGCCAAAACAATTACACAGCGGTTGAAATTATGCGAAGTTACAGGGTTTATACGTGATGCATGGGCTATTAACACCCATCGTTCCCACGCCACTCGCATGGTGAGGAGTGCTATGACGTGGTCGGCGTGTCTTGGTCATTGGGTCAAGGGGCATAGGGGGGCATAGGCTGTGAGTAATGTTTGTACGTCGGGTACGTTGTGCATACACCACTGCCATCAGTAGGTTTGGGCGACGTGCAATCATAATCTGGGGTCGGCGTTGGCCACGGAAGACAGAGCGCCTGTTTCAGCGTCTTTGGACAACATGGCACCGGATTGGCTAGCCTTATAGCCACTGCCTCGGCCGTAGCTAGCACCCGTTGGCGTAGGCCTCTGGAGAAGCTTGCTGGTGACCGGTAGACAACTTGAAAGGCTTCTTTGGCATCGACTCGGCGATTCGTATCGACAAGATGTGCGAGAATAAAACTCGAAATCGATTTCTTTTCACCTTTGCCTAGCCAGGCCGCTATGTGTTCACGTGCTCCCTCTTCCAGGAGCCTCGTTGTACGGCCAATGTATCCCCTGCCACAGGTGTAAGACGTGGATGACTGGGCAGCCGTGCTTACGATCTGTATATCCAACGGGAACGCAAGCGCATCTACCGGCAGTGAACGAGATGTCAGGAAACTGCCAGCGCACACCAGGCTGGGAGGATCATGGTTTGCTGATCATGGCATAGGAGACGCCCACAGACCTGTAGGCCGAGAGACAGGAGCGTGGATTGCTAGATGATCACTGAACGCTCTCCCGACATTCACATATATATTGTGAAGGGGATTTGTAAATTTCGCAGCGGCACCGAGGAATATCGCTTTTCCTCACTGATTGTTTTCAACCAGGCGGAGACCATTATCTGTTTTAAATGCAATGGCATGGTCCGAGTTTGCCCATTTTTCATCTGTTCCAAATTTATGAAATCGCGTATAGCTTTCGAACCAATGAATATTGCCGAATATTGCCGGCCGGTAATTTCGGCCAGCGGATTAAGCTTTTACCGTTATGCATTAAAGCTGCAATATTTCCTCATTTTACGGAGTCATTAATGCAATTAACAAGAGAATCATGCATGTAGACTTGCCAGTATGTTCAGTGACTGACAGAATACATGTTCACCACGCCGACAGACCTCGAGACTCTTCTATTTCTTTGGGTCACAAGGCCAAGTGGAAAAGATGACGCAAGTTGCGAGACCCCAAATATGCATTGAATGGGTAAAATCGTCGACGCGTGACTTGGCTGTGTTTTCCAATGTCAGTAGCCAAATAAGGTAGTCTTAAGTCGATTCAGAACAGCAATGATAGTCCTTATGCCCAAAGACAAGAACGGCGGCCACTACGTACGATCACGAAACTGTAACGTAACGAAATATCTTCTAACCTGCTTAATTAGATCACGGCAGATACGCAGAGTACAGAGTTTTCCATGCGCACCAGTGATGAATTAATGGAAGAATATTCAAGGTGAACGGAAATTAATTATGACAATTCTGTTGTTTTTGTTAATCAATCCAAAGAACCTGAACCTGCATGACTTATAAGCGGATTTGGCATCAAAAGTCATTGGGGGACTCGTTGGTTAGGGATCTAAAGGCCATGCAAAACTTTTGTTCGCAGCTGGCATTTCATTTTAAGGGGCTTAAATTACTGCCGTCCTCCCTCTCTGGTGTATGAATTTCATTTAAATCAATATAGATCACTCGGAATATCATTAATTCTGGACACGCAAACCCATTTCAACCTTCAGGAGCTTTAGTTCTGTAGTGAGAGAATCCGACTTAGGGTTGAATGTTAATTTTTAATATTCACT